ACGTGACCTAGCCATCTGAATGTATGTGACTTTATAGCCTCTTTGATTGGTTTTCCCTCTTTGCCCAACACTCTAGCCTAAAGTCAACATTACTTACCTTATTATACCACCTAACGTGAGAAAGAGATCGTAGACATCTATGATCAAAAACAGTCAACCTTTCCATGTCTTCAACTCGTATTGGCCATGTTTCAGAGCCATAGAGAAGGACGGAGCGAACTTCTGAGCAGTACACACGTCCCTTGGTTGATATTCGGATGTCACGCCTACGCCAGAGATGGTGTAAGTTAGCGAAAGCAGCCCGAGCTTTTTGGATCCGTGCTGAGATTTCGTCAGGAAGGAATGTGTCGTGTGAATTAAATATCTTTGAACTATGCATCAGATATCAACTAACCATTCAATAATATTGTAATCATTATGTACCTAAAAAATGTTGATAGTGATGCACTTATTTTCGATAGTATAGAAACAGTATGACACTCTTGACTGTCTATGTAACATAATAATAATAATTTGCTTTATTCCAAAACAGTACTTGTGATACAGAATGGAATTCTCAGCATTTTTACTACAGTATTGCATCCAGTTAGTAAATTATCAATAAATAGAATTCTACATAGATTGAGGAAACCACGGTTCATTATTACAACAATACATTGGCATGTCAGTAGCAAAGGTAAAGCTGAAACAGTGTTTGAAGGTGTTAGAAAAGTGGGAGCTGTCTAATTAACTGGCGTAAGCGAGAGAAAGAGACAAAGCAGCACATAACGGAAAAAGAAGAGAGAGAAAAGGAACAGAAAGAAAGAAAATGTTGTACCTATTGATGATGTGGGTTGGAAAGACGAGATCCAGTTGTACTACTGACTATTTAATGACAGAATGCATTCTAGACAAGCTGATGAATGCAAATTACTGATCGTGGTCAACTTTGAGATATGATGGATTGACTGACTGACTGGTTTCAACATAGAACTTTGCACCGATGTGCAGCAGTTCAAGTCGCCACACTTCACTTAGCACACAAAGCAAGAGAAGAAAGTAAAAAGAGATTCAAAACAGAGACAGTAAACAGAGATATGAGGCAAAAAGAATAGTAATATCGAAGAACCATATAATTTTATTGGATATTATAAGTCACAAGGAGTGGATGCATCTGCGCCAGCCATTGACAACGATTTTGAGCCATATCACCAATTGTCTCCAGCCTCCATTGGTTTTTACCGTCCCGATGACCCCAACCAGGAAGTCTACACCTTCCTACGTGGCTTAAACTAACTGTTGTGGATTTCATTGACTGATGAAGCCATGTTGGTTTGGTTTGACCACCACTGGCTTTTTTACAACCTGACCATATGACAGTTAACATTCCCGGTTGTCGAGAAAGGCGATCAATGGCTAGGCATACGTCACACATGTCCTAACCATCTCAGTCGATGTAGCTTCACAGCTTCGTCTATTGATTTCCCTTCCTTATCTAGCACTCGAAGCCTAACCTTAATATTGCTCACCCTATTATACCACTTCACACGGAAGATAGAACGTAGGCACCTATATCAAAGAGAGCAGCCGACCTTTCATGTCTTCCACTTTCAATGGCCATGTCTCACTCACAGCCATGAAGGAGGACGGAGCGGACTGCTGAGCAGTACACACGTCCTGATGTATTGACATAGAACCTGGAAGGATGACAAGGTTGTTAACAATAAATGGTTCAAAGCACTTTTCAATAGTAAAAGCTAAATATTTCATTTTGAAGTCAGCAGTACCATAATGGAAAGCCTATAAGAGGCACGCCATGTAAAATCTACTATAAATTTATAATACCTCTAGGAGTGTAACCATCTTTAAACGCATTCAGAACTAATTTGAAGATTCATATTTTCATCATACTTGGACTTCACAAAGGTGTAGGTAGTCTCATTCATCTTTAGAAAATGTATGCGGAAGTACAGCTTAGACTGCTACACAGTAATACTAGGTGGCATGTTGGTACTCTCTGTCCGTCTGACAACTATCAAATACCAAACAAATGAAGCATCTTTAAGTAACGTGATGAAATTGTTCAATCAACTTTCTGTTGAGATATTATCATAAGCATTCTACTCATCATGTTCAATGTCCTTTATCAATCAACTGATTCTGTTTTTCAAATCTTATATGTATCATGAAGCAGGCTACACTGGAGATCACTGTGAATACTAAAGACTCTTGTTAAACCACGTACAATTTTCAGTCAAAGCAGTTTCAGTTTCATACAATTAGTGCACTGTATTATCCAGTTATTATCCTCACAGTATACAGCTTCTGTTTTGATACAATCAGCCAGAGATCCACAAGTATAGGTAGGTAGTTTTGTGTCAGCCTCATAACTTTGGTTTTTACAGAACTTATTAAAGATCACCTGATTGTCCTTCTTCTATACACTTACGACAAAAAGTGCGATTCAGTACGACGTTCATAAATATTTTAAGACGAGTTAAACAGTACCAGACAATACGAAATAACTAAATGAATAAAGCTACAAAAAACCAAGAACTGTAGTAAAGAGAGTAATACCTCTATGGATATTCTTCTGCTATGAGGCTCCGTCCAGATGAATCTAGCGCTTCGAACATCCAAACCTTTCTTCAACCCACGAATCCTTTTGATACATAATGCAAGTAACTCCGGAGACTCTGGTTCAGCACATATCCAGTTGGATGGAGGACTCAAATAACTGTAACCGTTAAATAATAATAATAACGCAATTTACCGTTCGCATTTTGGACAAAATGTTATAGTATTTTGCCGATCAATGTGAGCAGCGATATCTGCGTCACCCGATAAGCATGTGAAGCACATATTTGCAGTATTCGAATGTATTTGAACACCGCATTTGCAGCAGAGGCTAGATTAAATGAAATTAAAGTTTCTTTTCTTATAGACTTACATCAAGGATAGTGCCTGATCACTCATTTTAATCTGACTTTGAGAGGTATGGCTTGATACTCCAAGCCTTGTCTTGAATGCTTAGAACTTGTTCAGAACAGAAAGCAGTGTCTGAACAAAAATCGCTAGAAGGGGAGTAAAGAAGAGGTCAGATTTTATTTCAGTAATAAGAGAGTTAAATAATTCATCGCATTTTCTATCAATGTTAGGTGTTACCCGCTCTGGAATGACAAAAGTATTTTCCTTCTCGTGAATGATCATCTAAATAAGGTCGGTATGATATTTCTTCTAAAAAAACAATTCCTGATGGGTAAAGTTAAAGTGTACGCAAAGTTGATTACACAATGAATGTTATCTGATATAAGCCTGAGAGTAGAGGAGAAACGCTCACGAGCAGAATATGCAGATGACATAGTCCTGTTAGGGGAGAATGCTGACAAAATGCAGAGTCTTCTGAACACCTTGAGCAACAATCTTCGCATGTTTGGCATGCGATTCGCCCCTGTAAAATGTAAGATGCTGCTACAGGACTGGACTACGTCAACTCCAAGCTTAGTGATACGGAGTGAAGTGATAGAACATGTTGACCACTTCACCTATTTAGGAAGTTGTATCAGCACCAACGGATTGATTGGTGACGAAATCACAGCACCGATCCAAAAAAGCTCGGGCTGCTTTCGCTAACTTACACCGTCTCTGGCGTAGGCGTGACATCCGACTATCAACCAAGGGACGTGTGTACTGCTCAGTAGTTCGCTCCGTCCTTCTCTATGGCTGTGAGACGTGGCCCTTGAGAGCGGAAGACATGAAAAAGTTGTCTGTTTTTGACCATAGATGTTTACGATCTCTTTCTCGCGTTAGGTGGTATAATAAGGTAAGTAATGTTGACGTTAGGTTTAGAGTGTTGGGCAAAGAGGGAAAACCAATCAAAGAGGCTATAAAGTCACATACATTCAGATGGCTAGGTCACGTGCTGCGCATGCCTGACCATCACCTCCCCCGACGGGCATTACTAGCTGATATAGGTGCAGGTTGGAAAAGAGTAAGTGGTGGCCAAACAAAAAGAACATGGCATCAATCCATGAAATTCTTGACAGTTAAACTGAGTCAGGTAGGGAGATGCAGACTTCCGGGATGGGGTCCTCGGGACTCTAAGCATCAATGGCTGGCGACAATAGGTGACATGGCTCAAAATCGTTGTCAATGGCCTACGCAGATGTATTCAGTCTCTGTAATCTTTCATATTCCTTTCTACCATTACTCATTCTGTTTCACTCTTATACTTGTCAAAACTCTATTGATTCTCTTCACTCATTTTCTTGTCTACCTTTGTGTGCTCTTTGGAACGTGGCAACTGGAACTGCTGCACTTCAGTGCCGAGTTCTATGTTAAATCCAGCCAGCCAGCTCCTCTACTGAAAACAAAAGCAGTATCTAACACTTTAATTTTCACAAGGCATAAAGCCCACCTTACTACAAAAAATTAAACAACCAAAAAGGCGGAAAAATTGTAAAAAAGATTAATACAGATAATGACGTTGTCAGATGTGCTCATTTCTTTACATTTGTTCTTTATTTCACCCCAAGTCTGAATCTCTCCTCCAAAAATAGACCAGCTGTTCCCGAAAATAGGCAAGTTTTGGTAACCCTGATAGATCCATTATTAACACAACAACCAAACACCCGATCTCCATGGGATTTTTTAAGGGAATTCAAAAATGAAGGCCTAACTTAATTTGGTAATAATACCCGTAACTAGAAATGACAGCCAACGGTCAGGCACCGAAATAACTGCTATATTATATCCTACGCCTATGCATGAAACAACACAAAATATATGCAGAGATTGTCGAAGACTTCCATCACCATTACTTTTTTCAGTTACAATGAGTCAATTTTCTTGTAGATTCGCACGAACACAAATATTCTTTGCTAACTGTATGATAAGAATTGATATAAGATACTCTTCTCTGAAAACATTACGCATATCGTTGAATTAAATGAGCCAATCAAGTTTTATAATAAAAATAAAGGTAGCTATTAGAATATCACCAATGATCAAAAAACCCTTACACGTGAAGCCAATATTTAAAAACTGCACGACCTTCAGGTCACTAAATGTTCAACATACAGTATCAGATTTCAGATTCAGATTTACTGGTTGAAAAATAGAAGGCTTGCAGCCTATGTAAAACCTTTTCTAGTAAATTTCTGGGGTTGTCCAAACTCTTCTTGAATGAATCAGTTGGGGTTGCACACATCACTTCTTCTGGGAGTTAATGATTCGGTGTGAGGACCAGTACTCAACACCAAAATGGTTTCTTCACTACTTTTGAACTTTCCTAATATGTCCTCTAAGGTGTTCCTACCTATTGGGGAGGAAGATAGAGAATAGATCAGGTCCACAGTCATTATTTAAAATTTTAAACATAGTGATTAAATCTCCTCACTGACTGCGCTATGATAGGGAGAAGAGATTTGAACTGTCTAGTCTTTCCTCCTATGATGAGTCAGTCATGATGAGAACCATGCGTGTTGCCCTACTTTGGACCCTTTCTAGAATATATTAGTCCCTTTAAGACAAGGACTGGCTGTCTGGATATATCTCCAGTCTTGACCTCATCAGAGATGTGTATAGGGAGGTGAACATAATAATAATAATAATAATTTGCTTTATTCCAAAAACAGTATTAATGATACAGCAAGGAATTTTCAGCATTCAGTACAATATTGCATCTAATTTATTCAAAAACGACAACAACAAAAAATAAATAAACGAAATAATTAATACATAATAATGATAACAAAACGTTTTTATTAGCAGCTATGTAGCAATTACAGTATACGATAAGGAGAAAAATACGCATAAAGTATAAAATTATAATAGTAATAGCAACTAAAATAAAAATAGCAAAGTTATAGTTAAACGATAGAAAGGGTGACACCATAAAATCACAGAAAGATGAACAATGAAAGGGTCGATTCACTATGCTAATTACATAGTAACTTATATGTTTCACGTCTAATAGAGTCTTCATCACATAAAATACGGGCTAAATACGGTATTGTAGAATTTTTGTACTTAGTGGTACGAGCATATAATTTCTTATATTGACTTCTCGTTCTACCTGATGAGATACAAGGGGATAGTTGTGAATAAAGAGGGTGCAGAGGGTCTGACAGTACGGCCTTTGCCCAATTTTTACAGGAATTTACGTGTCTCTCGACTATAGTATTGGTGAGCTCACGCAGTGGCAAACCACAAGCCCTACTCACAGCATTTAATACCCTTCGTAATATGACATAGTCTTTTTAAGAAGCCCAGGAAAGATTAATGGAGAACAATAGAGTACAATAGGTAAAATACAGGAGTTTAAAAATCGCAGAACTAAAGGTTGGTTGATACCTTGTTGTCTTAACTTTTTAATGTAGAAGGTAAGACGAAACATTTTCTTAGAGATCAATAAAATGTGGGATGACCATGAAAGGTCAGAGGAAAGAACTAATCCAAGGTATTTAATGCTTGACTTGGTTTCAATTTCAGTGCCATCTATGCTACAGGCATCATGGGAACTAACTAGTTCATGTATGTCACGTCGATGCTTGAAGGTAAAGTTAACTGCCTGACATTTGGAAGGATTTAACATATCTCTGGTGATTATAATAAAGGCTCTGCTGATTGCTCATAAGGATATGAAGCTATGTGAAGTCACCAAGCGACTGTGTGCTGTAGTTTTTAAAACTTCACTTACTATGACATCTAAATCTGAATGAGTCTGAACTGATGGGAGTGTTATTCCCTCTAGTTTGTGAGAGCTGATGCCTGCTTGTCCGATTTACATGGTTGCACACTTCGCTACATTGATAGGGAGCATCCATTCTCTGGACCACTCTGACAATTTGTTGAAGTCTTTCTGCAACGTGAGCGTATCACTGTCACTCTGTAAATCTCTACAGATTTTTAAGTCATCTGCATATAGAACCATAGGGGAATCGATGAGCAGAAATAACTCACTGATATACATAATAAATAGGAGAGGTCCTAGTAGCGTACCTTGTGGCACTCCGCTAGGCACTGTTGTACGGTGAGTGAGTTTCGAGTTGATCTTAACCCTCTGCCTCCTATCTGGGAGGAATTCCCTTTAATTGGGCCTGTGAATAAATCCCAGTTGATTTCGGGTAGTTTGAATTCTCCACATATGATCTTAGACTCATATGGAAGAGTGGATGCTTGCTCCAATGCATTAATGAGTTGAGTCTCGTAATCGTCAAAAGGTACCAGGTACCATGTAGATACATCTTATTAGTAGTGTATCAATTTTGAAGTGTACTTTGACCCATAAGATGTCGTGCATATCGTTGATTTCCCAATCTCCTAGCTGTAAAGGGTTTTCAGGAAGTGCATTAGGTAGCCCCCTCCCTTGCCACTGCTCCTGTCACATCGAAAGTGTGTGTAAGTATCGATGCTTATCTCTTCGTTTGGTATATTGGAGTGACACCAAGACTCAATAATAATAATTACTGGTGGTTTATATACCAGAGTGTGTGCCCTGAGCATCGGTAGTTTGTTTAGGATAGATCTAGCATTAATTAGGATTACGTAAAGTGGACAGCTAAAGTAATGTCTGAAATATTTAAGCCAGTATTTAATCAGGCTCAAGTGTGGTTCGTCATCCACTGATTCACATGGCATAACAACCCTGTGTTACAATTAGTGTGAGTATCATGTTCACCTATGTCTGTCGAGTTACTACATACTTCTTTCAGTGAATAGTGAGTTTTACTATTGGATTCACTGTAGGATGAGGTAGTTCTATGCTTTGGTTTGTCGGAGACTTGAGTAGAAGTTATTATTTGACCTTTATTTGTACAAGCATTGGATTTGATTGATAATTGAGTGTGCACTGGACTATGTCTGTTTTTTTACCGATATGAAGCCGACATAAGTAGTACGGGTTCAGAAAAGTTAACATCCCCACCAGTTGTTTGGTCAGCGCTAACAGGGATGTGGCGGATAAAAAATCATTGTTACCCTGTGATGCTCATGACTTCCTAATTGTTAGAGACATTCTAAGTGTCCTTACATCGGTTTCATTATATGCATTGTGGTTTGATTCCCAGGGGAATTGTGCCATATATTCTGTCAACGTTTATTATTATTTTGGAAATTAGCCGCTTTCCTCACATTATCCACATGTCAATACTTAACAAGGATTGTACTGTATCACCTGAAACTACATATAGTATTCACCCGTGAAATCTACAACCCGGAATCTTCTGATACCCTCTCTAACCACGTGGAACTCAGGATTTTATTCACAGCAAGCACTGTAAAGGAAAGTCTGACTTTTTATTTTGCAATATATCTGTTTATCGTAGTTGTTTTGATACTTCGATAATACAGCTACCTTTTTATATCCTCAAGACTTTTTTTCTAGAAATTGTGAAAATCCTTATTTCTGTAATGGTTAAGTCAATCAAACGTGTAAGTACCGTTAAGAGACTGAGATCTAACGCTCGTCAACCATCTGAGGGCCTCAGCTCCGTTGATGATTCTACACTTTTGACACCAGTCACACCCAGAGTTATGGTATCTGATCTCATGAGTGAACTGACAGAGAATGCGGCCTGTAGCGAAAATGATTTACTGATACTTCAGAAGTCAATGGCAGACCTACAGAACAAGTTTGAAAGCATTATGCCCCTCGCGCAATTGTGTGACCCATCACAAAACATCTGTCTTGAATCACTTATGAAATCCGAGCGCATAATTGACTATTTGGCTGAAGAAGCTGTTAAGAGGATTATGTCTTCACATAACGTCTTGGCCTATAACATTCCAGACAGAGAGCCTATTGCCAAACTTACAGCTTCGTGTCTGAAGGCTTGTAATATGTCGTTGACAGAATGTCAGGTTTTGCGTCTTCGTAAGAAATCTGAAAACCACTCATGTTCGGTGCTTTTCAAGTTCAGGTCTGTCGAAGAGTCCAGAAATTTTCTGAAGGCTGGTAAGATAATAGGCTCTTCAACACCCTACACTAACATTAAGGTTGCAACCGATTTAACACCGTGCCAAAGACGATGCCGCTTAGGAACACTGAATACTGATAACTCTAATGGGACAACTGTAGATGATGTTCCATGCGTTATTCCGTCTACTGAAAAACCTGATGACCGTATGCACCAGACATTTTCTCAAGCACAGACTAATATTATCCAAGTATTATATAACGACACTGATGCTGACACTGAAATGGTGGACATAGATGAGTCAACGGAACATAATGTTGAAATACATCGTTTTCACACTGACACAAACGTCAAGAGCCCGAAACCATTAAAACCCATCGTACTGGTGTTCCACTCATCCCCTTTTAAGTCAGTCACTCCTCAGTCTGACAATCCATCCACTGTGAAGCACCAGTCGAACGTAGCTACCCAAGTTAGCAAGTTTTCTAGGCGTTATGACAAACGTCCCATTTCCATTAAGAAAACTAAAGCGCATGAGGTGTCCAAGCAACAGAATCGCTACATAGTATGTGCTGGCTGCCCTGTTAGCCATCATCAACCAGTTGATCTGAGCCATCATCCTAAGAGAAAGTCAAATATGGTAGACCTAGCTCCCAGAGGCAGGCCTAATTGGTGTCAAGTGGAAAGTCAGTTATATCCTACCACTAATTCTAGACAAACAGCACAGCAAGGTAGTAGGTGTTATTCTGCTCATCCACTACGTAAACCCATTGTTAGCCACCCCGCTTCCAATGTTCTATCGACTGAAAGCTATAGAAAATCCCCCAAACATCGGCCACAGACTACATGTAGCAAGCCAACAGAACCCACTCATACATCCTATGTATCTAGTTGGGAGCATGTGCCAATTTCTGCACAAAACTTGCTATGCTCTGGTGACTACCCGGAACATATACAAACACTTCATTCTTGTACTGGCAACAAATTACCGAATACTCATATCGGTTATACTTTCTGGCAGGATTTTCACCAGCGCCAGTTAGCAGAAACACCTGGCATCATGCATATAGCACGCATGATATCAGATCAATTCCTTGCCGGCATAGCGAACAGTCTACAGCTAGGGCAAGGCATA